CTCCAGAAAAACCCAACTGACCCTAATATTATGGCGAAAAACCTCTGGCGTTCACAACATAGCGCATCACTGTCAAGTTTTAGCGCAGATGCCTGTTTTCGGAGCAGGGCTCTATTGCCCATTTTTCCAAGCCCCCACGGTTTTTCCGTGATTCCCAAGTATTTTTCGGTTTCCACAAAATTTTGCCGTAGAGGGGGATAATACCACCCATGAAACAGCAAATCTAGAATCAACTACCAAAAAATTTTTTCTGAGACCAATGTCGACCTCCCCCTTTCCAGCGACCGAATGCAGCCCCAACCCCTTCGGTGAGTTTCCCCCAACGTAGGACGTGTCCTGGTTCGGAGCGCTCGTACCAAGCACGCCAAACTGCGATGTTCGTATTTGGGTGGTCAAACTACTGCTTTCAACAGTTTTTTTTAGCAAAATTAGTGACTTGATGCGTTCCAATGCGGTAATTTTCCCACTAATGTGATAGTTCCTGGTCAAGTTAACTATATACTCCTGAAAGAAAAACTGCCGCCAGGTCAACTCATAACGAAAAATTTTGGTAAAATAGTGCCTGAATTGAACTTGGAAAGGTAAAGCAGTAAATGTTAAATAGTGTCGGTTTTTAACACATGTTGATGAGAGTTAGAAGTCGTAATGCCAGTGATATAACTGACGGAATCAAAATTTCTTGAGGTCCTCTACCTTCTGAATGAGCTTCTCGAACTTTTCAACCATTTTTGTAATCTGTTGCAACCCAAACTCTCCATCCTCTCGTTCAAAGGGGTGTGTGGCAAGAGAATCGTAATTCGCCGCGCCAGAGGCGTCGCGCGCGACGTCACGCCCGCAAATGACGAGGTTTTAGGTGGTGTTAGTCGAGGATGGACAGTGTATGACCAAAAACGTACGTGTCTACCATGTCCTTGTCTACATGAAATCCGATGCTCCAATCGAAAGGGTAGTGCAAATCGGGGAAACGTCGCGCCTGTTGCCGAGCGCGACGAAGCTGCAATTAATGATTCTCTTGGTCTCCCCGTTGAAAGAACGCAGGACCTAAAGTTACGGATGAAACCGAGATTGGAGGTGATTTGGTGGCAGTTCATCACGTGCACGCTCCAAGGTCAATCAAATCCTGGATAGACCCAGGTGCATCCTAACGCCCCCTTTTTCCCTGAATCTTGATGGATAGTTTCAGAGTCAACCTATAGGTCTGAAACAATGACTTTCCCGTCGGGTGGTCCGCTACAGGTCACTGGAAGGGTCAAATGGCATTCAAAATGAGATTCCTAGTAAGAGTGTCTAGCGGGTGCCACGAAAGGAAAATCATCACAGGATCTTTTATCTTTTTATCATTTAACTTACCGAGACTGTTATGATTCCATTTAAGACACTCGTAAAATTATCGTGCAGTAAAATTGAAAAGAGATGATATTAGCAAAGAAATTTTCTAGGCAACAAACAATAATCAACGCCTGGCTCCGACAAGTCGAAGAAACGTCAACGAACCACGCTGTCATTTTGGTAAGATTTTTAGAGCTGTAAGCCAACCGCCTCAAGGCATCATTGGGCATCGTTTGAGAATCCATAAAAGTCCATTTCTTTTGACGTAGACGTGAATTGTCTCGATCGTTCGTTACGGGAACTGTCTCACTCTTATCTCTACATGAAGAAGATCGAATTTCCGTCTCAAACATTCGCTCATAATTCATTTTGAAGATGTTGAGAAATGGGCTCTTCATATGGAATCTTCGCTATCTTACGCCGTCATGTTTGACAGAAGGACCGGTGGATCGTGTTCGGACTGTCTGGAGAGATGTATGAAGCATCAGGTAAGTAGCTTTTGATGAAGAAAAAGCGAAGCTATATGGCCTCGGGGGGGGGACATCTAAGTTCCTTTTGTTATTCATGTCAACCAACAAGTTCTCACTTTGGTGATACCTGCCAACATTGCATGTTCTGCTGTTGCGAAATACGATCCCCTTTGAAAATTTCCTCTTCTGGTACAACCTTCATTTCGGTCCCCCATCCTACCTGCCATTTTTCTGAGGTCTCCCAACTTCTCAGGGATAAAAGTTTAAATATGACCTAGCGTCTACCAGCGTTTATCAGAAACTAGCAGCGTCGACCAGCAGCATCTCGGGGGCTAGGCACATGTACCGATCTCACGACCAGCAGCGTCCAACAGCGTCCAGGGTGGACAGGCGGGCGATAGGAGGGTAGAAGACAGCTGTTATTAGGTTGTCCGGAAAGTTCTCAGCGTTTTGGGTGTTTCACTTTAAACGATCGTAACTTTTTTAATACTCATCGGATTTAATCGAAATAGGCACCATTCGAATCAGCACACTTTTGCCAATGTGACAGCAGTCGAGAAATCCCATCAAAGTAAAAAACTGGGTGGTCGAAAATTCACGAAATCCACTAAGGCTTTTTTGCCTGGTCCTAATTGATGAAGTATTTTTCAGCAAGGAAGTTCTGAAAATGTCTGAAAAGGTGACAGTCGGTTGGTGAAAGGTCTAGAGAATATGGTGGGTGAGGTAGAACTTCAACTCCCAATTCGTTCAATTTATGGATAGTGATTTGTTGAAACGTGTGGCGGGCGGTTGTCATGCCCCCAAAGGAATCGGACCCTTTCTTTCGACAAGTGTTGGCTGCATCTGACAAAATTTTCGGTACAATTCGTCGATTTCTTCACAGTAGGGTTCTGCTGTGATGGTTTGGCCTGGTGATAAAAAGTTATAGTGGATCACACCAGCGATGACCACCAAGCCGTGACCAGAACCTTTTTTTTTCGTGAGGGTTCGCTTTGAAAATTACCCGGTGGTTCGTCGAAATCCAACCACTGTCCGGAACGTCCTCCTGTTTCATTACATGACCACAATGTTTTACATACACATGGTGACAATTCGCACTCCGCAAAAAAACAGGTCGTTTCTGCTGCGCAAAAGCAATGCAGAAGGAACCTCGAGACGTGCCGATTCCTGCCGGTCACTCCGATTGTGGGGCACCCATTGTCGAGTTTTTTCACCTTCCCAATGCGTTCCAGACCATCTGCAACAGTGGATTTGCCAAGGCCTAGCTCTTCTGCTATCTCTCGAACTGTTTGGGATGGGTCAGCCTCCGAAATCCCCCTAAAATCCTCGTCAGATATTGCTGTTAGGTCGACCGCTAATGATAGTTCCAATCTTCAAGGCTGAAATCTCAGAACAAAATTTGTTGAGCCATTGCCGCACAGTGCTTTCTCTAGCACTATTGGGCCCCCACACCTGGTTAATTTGTTGAGCTGTTTCGATTGCGGATTGCCCCAATTTATAGTCGAAGAAAAAAAACGTCCCCCTCGTGCCCGAAGTGCTCTTTTCAAGCATGCTTGACAAATATCTGTAATAACCAGGGGGTTTATCAAGCAATGGTGAAACGGCAATTATACCATCAGATAGCGCAAGGAAATTCTCTTCATGATGTACTACTGAGACGCAAGGGAGAATGAGCTGTTTATTCAGTCAGATGAATGTAGAATACAAATAGTGCAACAAAACGCTGAGATCTTCCAAGACCACCTAGTACGGTTCCTATCTCCCAATACTCTACTCTGGCTGATCATTCCGCTAATCTCTCCATACTCAGCCGTTGTCTGCTACCCTCCTATTGGCCCCACTCTCGCATCGCTTGGACGCTACATGGTCGCCAAGGTGGAACGCTCGCTAGACGTTCCTTATAGCTGAATCGATACCTATTGTGTTCCCTAGGCCGCTCGAGAATCGGTGCTTGACTTGCTGGTGGGCGTTGTAGACGCTGTGGAGGGCCCTACTTTCTTACAATTAGTTACTGATGCTGCCGGTGCTGGAAACGTAGATATTTGCTGGTGGTCACTGCCGCAAAGTATGAACGCAGTCTCACCAGCACTCCAAAAAGTCTTCCACTTTCCTTTAAAAAAAACTGCCGACAAGCGAGGAGCGGGGATGGACGTACCACCTAAACGACGAACGCAAGGAAGCTGACGAGAAATCAACCACAAAAACATTTTCTTGAAGGCATGTATAAGCCCTATCCTCTCTCCAGTGCCGACGCAGAAGAACCTTAACCCTAACCCTTAGCAGAGGATCCCCAGAGTGCAACGTGCCCTGTCTGTTAACTCTTGCGGAGCTGCGAAGTGGTGCCCGTAAGCTGATCAAGGTGCAGGAATTGACAGGCGTTCACAACGTGAGCTGTACGTCGTAGCTTCGCTGACGTACGATTTGGTTGCCCCACAAACCGACGCGCCCAATACCCTTCATCTATACTCCACCTTTCACGAGCCCCGAAATAGTTTAGAAAGTACGAATACGAACTCCGAACTGGTCATACTTAATGGTTTTTCAACATAACGACACGTCATTCGTTGGATTGGCAGAACACCTCAATACGAATGCGTTCTTCGAGCCTTTTTCAAAGAGGGTTTCCGTTTGTCGACCGATCCGATCAGTTACGGCTTTTCTTTTTGGCTGGCAGTTTTGCGGAACTTCCAAAGACATACGGGGAGGGAAACCTGTTCTGATAACAGTAAAGGTGAAATCTACTCGTGAATCTCGACGCAGCCTGTTCAAAACAGGTCAAGCCCATACAAGAGGGTCAGAACGGGATCGACTAAAACGGATTCATCCATTGTGTAACTGCATCCGCAAAACAATAGAGAGACCAAATTGCGATCGCACGTACAAATTAATCAATCGCGTAAGCCGCATAGATGTTTATTGGGGAACAATAAGAGCCCACCTGACAACGACGGTACTGATATCACCTTAAAGATGCGTTTGCGAGTCGCAGGGAGTGGGGTCCATATATGAACCTGTTGGTGCTGACTGTATATAAGAAGCAGAATACAAGCGGTGCGCGTTTCATCTAGAGGGCCATGTGATAGACAAAAACGTAGAGAGGCGATCTTTGGCGGGATCAGACCTAGCCAAAGCGTCCTATAATCAACTGTACACGCTCTGCTCCCACAGTACATCTGTATATGTATTCTGTTAGTTACATCAATGCGACCAGGAGTCGGGATAATGAGGAGAAATGATACACCTGACTCCACCCATAAAATCAACGTAGTATGCCTCAGTTGCTCCTAGCTATATATATCTTCATATGAAGTTGGATAAAGCTAGCCCTAAGGCTGTTCTACCATGCCTATATGAATCATTCATGATGTGCAACCTTTACACTATTATTTTAGGGTGGCACATGGACATGCCGTTCAGTTGTCTACGATTACAATTGGCGGATTTGTGATATGTTTGCAGTTGCGACCGCTGTTTCCCCGTTCACTTTAGTCGAGTACGAAGGAAGGGACTATTTCGAGTAAGTGAGCTCGAAATCGACGAAAATTTTCGGAAGGGAACATGCCCGGCATAGTAAGAGTACTCTATGCTAGTTGCTTAAGCCATCAGCTGAAATGATCTACTGTTTACAGATATCATGGGCCGCTGATTCCTCCAGTCGGCACGAATGACTGAACGAGATGCCAGCAATCTCGCAATGCAGGAGAGAGCTAAATCGGAAACCAGGACAGGCGGGAGCTGTGAGGTTACTAGCCCTGAAACGGTTCGTTTCCATCTATAAGAAGCCTGAGAAAGTAGAGAAAACTTATGCAGGGCGGAAATGTATGTGGCGTACTTAAAGAGACTTCCGCTGCGATGAAGTGGTTAGCATGGGATGTCTCGGTGCGCATTCGGTAAATTCAAGGGCCGGCTAAGGCAAAGATTGTACCAGCTGTTGGTCAGCGCCCAAGAGCGTGAGCTAGAAGTAGTCAGAAACAGACTGCCTATATCGACACACGACAATACTTACACCAACTTGGTCACCGGCGCATGTTGCGTTGTAGCGGTCCCGTTGGACGATTCACGCGGTAGCTGGGATAGCTAGGATAGCGCTGACTTTCGTTAGCTCAAAAGTTGTTCAGCTTCCAATGGACATCTTTTTTGAAAACAAACAATCAATAGCAGTCCATTTTCGCGAGGCAAGATACGTTTTGGTGCATTTACTCAGGAACAAATGGCAATTGCATTAGTGCAATAGTTCGTAGGCGCACTGCCTACCGTAATCTCGAATTCTTACATGGAATTTTTGTGAGCTATTTTCTGTTACAAGTTTCGTTTCAGTTGTTGATTTAATGCAGCATCTATCCTTGATGGTTTACTGAGATTATGCGAAAACGATTTGTGAAGCAAAATGGTTACGTTTGAGACGCAGAGGTATCGTTGTCCGTTAACGTTCCGAAAATTCGTAAAATGAACCTATAATTGAGACGCTTTCCGTGTTTTTTTTGTTTTTTTTTCTCTTCACATAGCGACTGCATGTTTATGAGTGAGCGGCTACGCACCCGCATATACTTAACTCGCGAAACTGTCTTAATTACCGAGGACGCGGTTCAAAGCAACCGTGTACGTGCGAAGCTCATACTGGTACATATTTGTTTGGAATAAGAGCAGGTTTTGATGCTGTACCTCAAAGACGTACAAAAAAATTCCTCAGGAAGAATTCGACTTCAAATTTGTAACTGTGGCTTTGCTGCGCTACTAGAACAGACTAACCAGAGACGTGCTCAAAAATTTCGGCCATACCAAGAGTACTGCGAAGTTTTGTACCTTCTAATCGCATGCCGCTAGCGGCTAATTCGCCCGGCGGGCCCCTCTAGTCACGGAACGCATATATCCCTTTTGCTTTTTGGCGCTTACCCTTTCTATGATTGGTTTGACCCCTTTGAACTAATCGGATCAGCAAGTAAAGTTGCGATCTGCGAAAGTCCAGATTGCGGTGAGTATTCCGGGAATGTCAGCCCAAAAGACCGGTATTGTTCCACTATGACGTCTCCAAAATACCAATTTTCATGATGAGACTTCGCGCTTCACTCACAGTTCCGATAACGGATATTGCTCTTGGCTCCGTATCAGAAGACTCTGACAATTCGGCATTTCGATATGCAGTGGTCCACTAGGAGATTCCCATGTAGCCAACAGAGTGGGACTTCTGGCTTTGAGAGTTACCGGAACGTGTTGATGGACATGATAGTCTCAGACAGCCTTCCCCCCCCTGCCCATTCCACTCTAGTCCGTGAGTTTTAATGTCAAGCTCTTCAGCAGTTCATTTGAGTGAGATCTCAGCGTGAAATCGCCGACGATGACCTTGGAGAAGACATGGTTTCCCTCGTAGAGCTTCTCCACTCCATATAGAATGCTTCAAACTTCGTAGTAACTCGATGTTGGTGAGCAGGCACTGAAAATAAGATCAGACATGAACCACCTCCTTTCAACAAACGTCCGATTCGGTCGTCAGATGTTCGTACGAGTCGACGTTCATGACCAAGGGCGCATTGACGAGCACGCGTACACCGCCAACACATCTGCAGTTCAGCGACGGGGGGGGCATTTTGCACTTTTTACAACTTCCCATCGACGTGTCGACCCATCTAGACAGCCTCTTCTCGAGTTGACAGGTTTTACCATGATGGCTTGACGAGCTTGCTCCAGCTTCACAAGAGTTCACAGGTTTCACCAGAGTGAGACTTGTAAACAGGAACTAGCGAAGCGATTAAAGTTAATAATGCACCTTCCCGTTGCCGAACTGCGCTACTTAGATATTTTCCTGGCCTGCACAAATCTTCGATGTGAGCTTCCGAGGCAAGCGCCCGCGCGTTGAAAAAACAGATCGTCGTCTCAATTCTTTGCAGATTGTTCTTCCTTTGATCCTGAGACTCTGGCAGCCTCTCCCGAGATTCCATCCATTGCTGCTCCATCGATGGCTTCCTCAGGTTGAATAGAATGAGGCTCATAACTGTGACTGTTTTCGGCATATATTTAATGACCACGAAAAGCTTGCCAGGTTTGACAGCTAGTGGGCAAATCTTCAGTTTGCCTCTTCTGTTCATTTCCTGGCTCATCACATATCCTTTCTCCGCATCATCCAGTACCAAATGCAATCCAACACGATAAAAGGAAAAACAAAAAAAAGCATAGCAGTGAAGCTCGTACAGAAAGTTCACGGAAGGTTCTCACAAATGATGGCAACGGTAATCCGACAAACTATTGTACTTTGAATCGCTCTACGACGCTGCAGGCAGCGAAGCTGCGGTAATCCGCCACGTGACATACTGTCGCGTAAGCAATAAGGCAGCGTTCATAGTTCAACGGCGATCGCAGCTGCTGTCGCGAACTATGAACGCTTCCTAAAGGCTAGCCCACTTACAAACCGTGATAGGCTACGCGTTTCCTGCACCTATCTCGCGCACTTTCTAGTGACGAAAGAGGTACACACTCAGCAGTTGAGCATCTGGCTACCGAATATGCGAGCATTCCTTTTATCACTTGATCGCAAGACGTGTCTCCAAGGTATCTCAATGTCCACATTCAAACTAAGTGGATACAGTCGTCATCCGGGCAGTTGATTAGGCGGTCAAAGGGTCGCAGACGCGGCTGCGGCGCGTCACGACCGCGGCGATCAGCTGTTTCCAGCCTATTTAGCCATTTCTCCCTAATTTTCACTGTTTTTGGCTGCTTTTCTTAAGGTTAGTTGTCACTTGCTTCACAAATGATTACAAGCAAATTATTATTGTAATTGCTCTAATTTCTGCGAACAATGAAATAATTAGACAAATAATTAAACGAATATCTAAAAAAAATCGCAAAAACAGTCTAGTACAGAAATAAAAAA